AAGTCAGTGACACCCTCTTGCTCAATGAGAGCTCTATAGCAGAAGGTGGGAGGGAGGAAAGGAGTCACCCATGTCTTCTCTGCTGGCCTGTGTAGTGGGCAGTATGATGGCTCATGAGTAAGTCTCCTGAAGTGCCCTAAATCCGGGCTGCTGTCAAGATCATTTCTGCAAAAGCAGTGGGAACCCTTATTCTCAGAGATGAATGCAAGTTTATCTTGGCCCTTCTGGGGTGAAACAGCTAGGAAAGGGTTAATGGAAATACGATTTAAGGAAAGGACAGAGGAACAGGGGTCTCGACAAGGGGTTCTTGCAAAGATCCCATGTGAGATGAAGTCTAAGGCCCGATCTGCACAAAAGTCACCTTCCCTCCTTTGCAAGATGCTCAGCTTTCAGCATTTTGGGGCTGGAAGACAGTGGAAGCCAGGCTGATACTCAGTGTATGGCTTCATCATCACCTGGCACAGAACCTTCAGCATGGTCCTGCATTGATTATAATAACCCAAGAAGTGTTTCAGCATCTCACAATGTGCAGTGCAATTTGTACAAGAGGAAACATCTCTAGTCAGAGCCCTTAAAGTTAGTAAGAACATTGTCAGGTAACACAAAGTACCTCATCTATGCTACCAGCTTGCTCTAAACTATAAGAAAGGCAGAAGTTCTGTGGTGTTTAGCTCTACAAAAGCAGCATTATATGGTAGACAAGGCTTTCCCGATGCCCCCGTGATAAATCCCATTCTCAGAGATCTATAACTCAATTGCTACCTGAAAAGAGACTCCTCCTGAGCTAAAGCTTGGCAGGCTGAATTGTTCATGCTTCTCATGTCTTTGCTGCTAAGCCTTATGGTTTGATCCAGCTGAGACCTGGGGAGAGCAGAGCTGCAGGCGTGTGGCCTGGATGCAGCAGAGGTGGGGGATGTAGGAGAGCTGGGTTTGGGGCGGCAGAAGTTCTGTGCTGTTTAGCTCTACAAAAGCGGCATTATATGGTAGACAAGGCTTTCCCGATGCCCCTGTGATAAATCCCATTCTCAGAGATCTATAACTCAATTGCTACCTGAAAAGAGATTCCTCCTGAGCTAAAGCTTGGCAGGCCGAATTGTTCATGCTTTGCTGCTAAGCCTTATGGTTTGATCCGGCTGAGACCTGGGGAGAGCAGAGCTGCAGGCGTGTGGCCTGGATGCAGCAGAGGTGGGGGGTGTAGGAGAGATGGGTTTGGGGCTTTTTTTCCTCTGAGATAACTGGTTGCCTTCTGACTTGAGATAGCTAAAGCTCATCTGCAGCCTGGTCTGGACATGGGGCAAATATATCTTTTTAAAGAGCTGTAATCAACCCTTGTTTGAAATTCAGTTCTAACTAAGGCTGTTGTTGAATTCAGACCCACCTGGTCAAGGAATCTGACCCATTTTGGCAACTCCCCTTCTTGAAGGTGCCTTCACTTTTATATGCAGATTTTATGGGGTTTGGAAATCCTTCTTTTTTTTTTTTTTCCTTCCCCCTAAGCTGTAATACTTTCAAAGGGACCCAGTGTTCACTAAACCCTTGCCCATTATAGTGAATAGGAAGTGCTGTTTCTTGAGTCTTTAAATCAACTAGTCCTCAAAGACCCTGGATGGAGGCAGGGAGAGGGCCACACACTCCCACCTTGCTCCTCACCCTCGTCTCTTTCCCTCTACCTTTTACTCTTTTAATTTCTTAAAGGATGTTTTTTTTTACAACTTTTCATAAAAAGACCCCTGTGTGCAACGCCTTGTCTTTTGAGTTCTGATATATAGATGCTTTACACTTGTTTTATATCTCAATACCAGGAATAGAATGATCTGTAGTAAAAGGAAAAGATGCAAAAGACTGCAAAAAATAAAAAGAACTCTTTGCTGCTGCTGAAGTACATGATTACAGTATGCACAGTGTTATGCTAAAACTAGGCATTTAAAAAAAAAAAAAAAACCCACACAAAACCCTGCTTGCAGAGTTGTAAAGTAAATGTGGCTTGAACTGTGGCATGTTTTTTTGGACTCCATTAATACAGTATTGTTTCTAACTGATTATTTATATGCTGGTAGCAGCAAGACTCCCCAACTACCATGGGAGCCCATCGCCGAGGACCTCGGGTCCCACCATTTATCACGGGCGCCTCTGAAGCGTTCATTGTTGCCCTCCCAGTTTCGCTGTTTGACAGCCCCAACTGCCGCCATAAAACAGGGACGCAGTAGTTAAGCGGCGTCGAGTTAGACATGAGGGAACATGGCTTAATAAATCACGCCTTGTACAGTAGCAAAAACTCTGTAAACTCGAGGGCGAGCGTTTAACGAGCGGCAGTATAGTTCCCCCGCGGTGGAAGGGGAAGCACGGGGCTGGATCCGAGGCTGTGTGCATCCCATCGCTTTCTGCTACTTTATTACTCATCATCTGCATTGTTAATTTTTACTGGTTCATTTTAGGTTTTAAAGCTGGAGCTTTCTGGTGTGAATTTATACAAGTAATAATGTACACTCCCTGCACAGCATAGGAATTTGAGGAGAACCCTTTTGCTAATCACTTCTCCAGGGAGGTTTTCCATGATTTTCCCTTTGAGAATTTTCTGGAGTTGCTGGTCTATTCTTCCCAAGATCTGTAGCAGGAGGTGGAAGTTTTCCTCACCCTATTCCCCATCTCCCTGTTCCCTTCTTTTCCATTTAACCTCTCAAGTCTCACGGACATTTCTTAGCCTGAGAAGATGGCGGCATAAAATGCAGCAAATGAAACTAATGAGTCTCAAACAAGCTGTTTCCCACTTATATGAGTGAGGCCAAACGGAACAGCAAGGTGTTGGAAGGCAGGGTTATCAATTGCCAGAGGGAAGAAGCAGTACCCAGGAGGACAGAGTAGCTGTGAATATGTCTTACAAGAGGAACAGCGGTGTTGGAGTAGAACTGACATTATGGTGCTTCCCAGAATGGGAAGGGTTTGGAAGGGACCTTTGGAGACTATCTAGTCCAACCCCTCTTGGCAAAGCAGGGTCACCCAGAGCAGGTCAGACAGGAACGCATGCAGGCAGGTTTTGAATATCTCCAGAGAAAAACAGCTGCAACTGTAAACTTTAAAAACAAAATTGTCCTGTCACGTCTATTGTTGTACATTTGATCTGTTTATTGGGTCAGAATAACACTGTAGAACAGCTACACTAATGTAGATAATGGATTTTCCCATGTTGAAATTTCAGTGGGGACTGCATTGATGTCGTGCTCTGTTGAGGGCTTGATCCAGGGCTTGCTCACTTTGTGCGTGTCTTGCCACTGATTTCAGCAGGTCTCACCTCAGTGGCTTTCCTGGATTTGTGGCATTAGGCAAAAATGTTTTGGCCAGCTGTGAGTGCAGCTTTCATCAGGTTCAAACTGAGCAGTGACCTCTTGGTATTTTCTGGTGGACGGAAATGGTTTTGTAGGAAATGGCACCCTGCTGACACCCTGCACTGAGGCTCAGCTGCTCAAATGAGCTGGTTGTGTCCTGTATCATGTGCCTTGATCCCATCCTCTTCCCTTCCCCACCTCCTAGTGAAATAGAGACTGCATCTTCAACGTGTAATGCATGAATACCATGAAGACAGTCATGAATCTATGCAGACATCATGATTTCATTTTTCTAATTATTTCCTCCAGCAGTGTGAGCACCAGCACCTATTTTCCTGCTTCCTTTGGGTTCTGATACAGCCACACGCTCTCAAAGTGCAGCAAGTTTATTACTGGAGACAAGATTGATCCAAATGCTGTGTCTCAGCCTCGATGCCATTCCCATCGCAAAGTTCAATTACTGTTTCAATTACACCACAAGCCCCTTGATGAACATTCATTAGTGGGTAGTTCCCTGTAGCCATCTAGCTGTGCACAGTCAAATGCTGCTGCATTAAGCAGGAGGCAAAGATGCTGTAACAGATGCAAAGGCAAGGATGCTGCAGGGGAAGCTGCTGATCCTTTGGTGTCTTTTATTAGGAGATCATCTCATGCTGGTGCTGGAGCTGTAGGTCCCAGGGAGTTGAAGTTGTTGACCAGGCTGTGCCAGCGCAGATGGACTTGAATTGAAGTAATCAAATGGTGTCTTGACTCAGGAGCCAGGGTTGTTGTCAAAAGAACTCAAAGCCAGCAGGAATTATTTCCATTTGCTGCAATGGGCTTTGAGTGCGACCCACATAAACCAAAGACAGGAGAATGTCTTCTAAAGGAGACGTAATAACCAAACTGGAAGAGATTTGCTTTAAGCAGAGATTTTCAGTGGGGTTTTGGAGTCAGTATTATGCCAGGGATATTAGTGCATCTGTCCCACTTGGGTTTTTTTTTTTACAGCCTCTCCCTTGTGTGATCAGGTTGTGTTGTAGTGTAGGAGAATTCATGGCACCTCTAGACAGAAGGTGGCACCTCCCACCCTTGAAAGCAGTGACTCAAGGGCAGAACTACATGAAAAAGCTTCAGGGGGGGCATTGGAGCATAAAAGGCTATCACATCAGCTGTCATCGTGGTCTGGTGGGAGGTGTCCCTGCCCATGGCAGGGGGGCTGGAACTCGATGATCTTTAAGGTCTCTTCTGACTCTAACCATTCTACGATTCTGTGATTTTATGATCCTGTTACAGCCTGTGTTCTTGCTCTCTCACCAGTAAAAGCAAGCACCCAACTGGCCTCCTTCTAACTTGCTTGTGCAACTCTACCGAAAACCAAGGGGGCAATCAAGCCATCTTGCTGGGAAAAGTCATGCCTGTTTAACCTTACTGGCTTTTTGGCTGCTTCACTGTGCACCCTCAGTGTGCTCTTAATGGGGATTTTCCTCTGGAATCACACTGCACTGTGAATGCAACAGCCTTATCATTGCTGTCTGTGCAAAACTGAAGATGAAATGATGCCTGATTTTGATGCGGGGAAGCAGATTTATTTTTACATGTTCCATCATTTGCTTCCCTTGGTTCATGATGAATGCTCGAATGGCTCTGAGCTTGGTATTCCCACGTCTAAATTACATTATAAATTTGTGTTTATAGGTTTACAGATGCCCTCTCCAGAGTACATAGTTGATGTAGAGTCTATGGACATTTTCCCCGTTGGCTGGTGTGAAGCGAATGCTTATAACCTAACTCCACCACACAAAGCTGTTTGTAAGTACATGGAAACCTCAAGCAGCATAGATATTACATGAAAGGATCTATCAGGGAGTTTGTCTTATGTCTATAATCCAATTTTTGAAACTACCAACCTAGGTAGCAGACTGGTAACCAGGCTGTATGTGTAATAAATAGTAATACATCTAATTAGCAATTGGACTCTGCAGCACTGGTGTTATGCAATTTGCACTTGTCTGTGTGATCTGTCCCTCTGAAAATGAGATTTTTAGCGCTGAGAAAGGTTCTTAAGATAGTGTGGGGGTGCACAACGCAGGGTTTTGGGTTTGTGATGGGGTTGTCGGAGTGAAACCAGGTTTCATTGCGCCAAGTTCACTGGGGTGAAAAATAAAATAAAAATAAAAATAAAAAAATAAAAAAAAAATAAAATGTAGGGTGGAATGGATATCCAGGTGCACCCTCTCCAAAACAGGATCTGCTCCATCTAAATTGAGAAATGTTTGCTGGCGTCTTTCTACCCCTTCCCAGAATATGTATCCCATCATTTCATTGTCCCCACTAGGTCAAAGATTTCCCTTGTGTTTCCTTTAAATCTCTCCCGGCACAGTAAAGTCCGTAGTGTTTTGTCCTGCCTCCAGTGTGTAGAAAAACCAATTTCTTTCCTTTCTATTTGCATTTGAAGGCAGTTCATGGGGGCTCAGTGGCTTGATGTTGTTCTCCTGTTCCTCGCAGAAACTATCCAACCCCCATCTCAAGCCACCAGACGAAAAATTAGCCTCGCTGTTTATATTAATTAACATCTGAAAGGCAAATTTTAAAATGTGTCAAACCTTTTGAAGAGTTAAATATGCTTAAGTTAAAAATCAGGCAGCCGGGGCCTAATTTGGGAGAATACTGCTATGGCAACATTATGCAGCCTTATCGCAATTTATAGCTAGGGATAAATTATGCTGGAGGTAATCATGCTTGTAAAATGTAATCTTATCCATATGTGTTTCTGTATGGAAAAATATTTGTGTTTTTCTTTTAATTTTTTTTTTATACTGATCCCATAAAACACGATATTAGCATTCCAGAGGAAAGATTAAATGTATTATTACATATTTAAAGTAGGTTTTAATGATGTAGTGACTTACTTAAAAAATACCAAGAGGAGATGGTGATAGTAATTAAGTACCATTTCATTGTGTTAGAAGTCGTTTTATAGTCAGTGCATTTATACAGCTTTTTATGTGTTATGAGTATACTTTATAGGACAGAAGGGTACCAAACTATTTTTTTCCTCCTTGCTTCATTTTTGCAGTGCGAAGGAAGAGAAGGATTGCAGTTGTGCAACCAGAAAAGCAGTAAGTTTTTGATATTTAAAGTGATACTTACACAGGGATGCATCCAGTCTTCCAGAGAGATAATCCAGAGCAACTGGGTGACTTTGCTAACTACTGCCCAGGTTCTGCAGCCGAATTGCCAAGGGGGTTCCTTTAAATCTAAAATGTTTGTGAACATGTAAGAAAATCCTTGAAACAGAAATATTTTAGTAGCTGGGACTGTGTAGCCAGTGTCTGATGGCCAGTAAGGGATGCTTATGGAAGACAGACGTGTACCAGGAAGGCATTTCCCTATCTAGTCCTTGCAGTTTCTAAGGGATTTTAAGGGATTTCTAAGGGAATTTAAGGGACCCAAGCATGAACATTTGTAGCCTGAAGGGCTAAAAGTCACTGACCAGAGTACGCTTTTGGAGGAGTGGTGGATCTGGCTCCTTCTTCAGCAATAGGCCCTATAGGCCCTGCAGGCCCTGGGCTATGATAAACTGCGTGGAATCTGGGTTGCATTTGAGGTATCTCCATTCCTCAGTCCAGACAGGTCCCGGGCTTTCTCTCAGTCGGTCCTGAATGCTTTGCCCCATTAAATACTATTAAATGGTATATATGTATGTGTATATGGCACTGTTAAATACTCTGAATTGCTGTTTAACAGGTTGCCATCCACAGTGCCTGTTGAGAAAATACCTCATGACCTCTGCCCGGTTCCTCAGCCAGACACAACAGGTAAGACTGCTCAGTACCAGTGGGATCCTTACTTCAAGGACCCTTGGCCTGTCTGGAGGGGCATGACCCCAAAAAGGGAAGGAGTGTTTTATATGGATGGGGAGATGAGACCACATCCTCAGGGGGTGTGAGGTGGTGTGAACCCACCAACAGTGCAAGGAGTCTCTGGTGGACAGCATGTTCTGGAGGGTCTAGTCCTCCATGTGCAAATGCAGTGTCTTGCTGGGGTTATTGGAGTTTCCCTGAAGCTTGCCCGTTTCAGCTAATGATGTTAGGGCCAGGCTAATGAAGCCCTGGTGGAGATGGATGTGACTTTTTAATTGGCATCGATGAAATTGCTTACAGCAGGACGTAACGGGTCCCTGTGTTGGCATCAAGCCTGTGTAGCATGGCTGCTGCTTCTGCGAACGGCTAATTTTGGTCCCCTTTAGAGTGGTGGGAGGTTCTGAGAGTGTGATATTCATCCAGTTAATCACATGGACTCTGCAGGAGGGGCAGGTTTTAACTCACTTCATTTTACCAGGCTGCAGGACGCATCTGACCCAGCATCCCAGGGTCCTGTTATGATAAAATGGGGAGAAACAGGCTCTTTTGGGGTATGATGACCAAAAAGTGGATAACCACTTGGATGGCACATGAACCACATCTAGAAATACCCATTTCTGTCCATGGGCTATAAGGGATCCCAGAGTAATTAGCCCAGATGAAGAAAGCTGCTGTGTAGATCCATGTTGATCAGGGGAGTGGCACCACAGCACGTACTGGGTTGGACAGTGACTGAACAGGGCTTTGTAGAGCTCTCCACCTGAATTTTTTCCCTGAGCCGATGCCACGTTTTTGAGGGGCAGCTAATATGTTCCCTTTCTGGAAAGTTACACCTGAGTCTCTCATATCCATGTGCGATGCAAGTTCTGAAAGAGCCTCTGGTCGTGTTATGAATTAAATCCTTTCCCAATTTTCCTCTCAGTAGGGTGTGCAGCCAAATCAGTTGCTATTAAAAGCACTTGATTTTCTCGTGTTGGAGGGATTCAAATAGCAGAGGTTTCTCTACCTCCTGCCCCAGGGAAGACTTCTTTGTGCCTCCCTTACTCTTCTCCCCTCCTCCCCACATCTAGGAGGAAGAAGAAGGGCCCCTGATTTATTGTACAAAAGTGCTACACGCACATCAATGCTACTTTCTCCTTGCAGGCACCATCAATGGGAGATACTGCTGCCCCCAGCTCTACATCAACCACCGCTGCTTCTCAGGTCCATATTTAAACAAAGGCAGAATAGCAGAGCTACCTCAGTCTGTCGGGCCTGGCAAGTGCGTGCTGGTCCTCAAAGAGGTACGGCTCAGCTATCTTTTGGGGGGACTTCAGGGGAAAACATGGATTATGGGCTGCCAGGCCTAGAATTTGAAAAGAAGGCACCTAAAATTGTCCTGGAGCTCTGCAGTGGTTTCCATAAGTCAAAACGTCAAGCTGGGAAGAGAGGGTAGGTATATGCATTGTGGGTTTTGATGGGAGAGGTGATATTTTTGAAACATGGGGAGTTCTATTACTTGGGAGCAAGTTTCATCTAACTGTGGGTACTGTGCAAGCAAATTAACATTCTGAACCAGAGCCATCCCCAAAGAGAATCTCTGTGGTTGCTGCTGTCAGCCTTACAGTCCATATACAGATGAGAAGCAAGATGGGTACAGGTGGGAGAGGACAGCAGGAAGGTGCTGTTGGTTAAGTAGGGTGCCATTGGTGTCTTGGGCACCATTTCAGTTTGATGTGAGTCTTCTAGAAATTCAGATCTTCCAGCTTTCTAGTCTGTACCTATATGAACCAGGGGTGTACCTGAGCTCCCTCTGCCCTTGGTGGAAAAGCACGAGAACTTCTAGGTCTCCATTTCTCTGATGGATTTGCAAGACCCTCAGTGCCCAGCTCAGGGTATTTGCAGTTGTCTGAGATGAGATGAATCCCAGCCCTGAACAGAAACACCTGAGAGGAGAGATTCCTCCCAAATCATCCACCACTTCTGAAAACACCTCTGTGCTGTACTGTAGAGTGACTCCCATGTCCCCGGTCACTTCCCCATCACCTACATGCACTGCTTTATACACCACAGCACTGCTGGTTGTCTCACATGGCTGAAAGCTGGGATGTGCAGAGCACCCAGTAATCCAGCTGCCTGTGCAGGTGGGACACCTGGGTCTCAAAGAAGCAAGTCAAAAATGGCCCTCAGCAGAAAGCAGGATGAAGCGGTTGCAGAGCAAAAGTTGACAGCTGCCAAGTGTGAAAGCAAGTCCATAGCTGCTTGCTATGGGGAGCGTTAGCAATCTGCTGCTACTTGGAAAAGAGGCAACGAAAAATCAACGTGGGGGAAACATGAAGCATGCCCAGTCAATCCTTATGCTAATGTTCCTTCCTCCTTTCCACCTGGAATTTGGATTTTGAAAGTATAAGTAGTATAAAGCTTCTTCTGCCAGGTCCTCCCCTAGTATCTTAGAGCTTTGTTGCATAGACTAATGCCAGAATCTCCAAATTCCTCAAGGATGGGACCAGTGGAAACCGACTTCAGTCTCCTGCAGCAAGGCTGTTTTCTCTTGCTCTGCCTCCTTACAGAATTGCTTGCAGAAGGACCAAATAGCAGTGTCAATGAGACACCAGCATCTTGGTTTTGGATACAGGAGTGACATCCCAAGGAGCAGGACAATGGCCCAGCATTCATCAGTGTTATTTTGCAGATAAATTCAAGCTCGTTCTGGCCACAGGGACCAGGTCAAAATTCTGGAAAGGGCGAAGAGAAGAAATTCAGGGTGTTGTTGCAGGGGAGATACACATGGTTCCTATCAGCTGCTGCCTAGATGACAGAGGTGTTGAACAGCTCAGAGAACCATGGAGGTTTCTCTGGAGGAGGCAGGGAGGAGGATAGGGGTACCCACCACGTGGAGAAGGCAAGAAGTGACAAAGAAGACATCCCTGTATCGAGATGAAGATCTCTAGCAGCTGCCAGAGCACCCAAAATGATTGTAGAGCTGAGTGGTGACAACAGTGTGGGACATATCTCCTCCAGTCCAAGACCATGGCCACCAGGCTTTCCACAGCTGCAGAGCTCCCTCCAAACCCAGTTTTGGTGCTGAGCTTGAGGCCTTTGTCTCGCTACACCCGCTGATGTTGTGGCCCTGAGTATGCAAATGCGTTATAATTATCTCTCTCTCACTATATAGGAAAATTGCAGGCCATTGTAAATTATGCATCAGCATAACTTGTCTGGAATAGATAAATTATACATGGGCTTTACTTTGGCAACACACAGGGGAGGGTGGGAAAGACAACTCAAAACAGCAGCTACGAAGGAAAAACGGAGTCTGTAGCAGGCTGGCGAGTGCTTTTTAAATCACCCCGGTCTCCAGCCATAACTCACTGTCTTCAGAGATGCTCTAGTTAAAAATCTGTGCCAGTTCCCAGCCAGTTCACAGTGGGCATCTCTGTAATGGAGATGCTGCTGTGTTTGGCACTGAGGGCAACCCCAGACTAAAACCAGCTGAACAAGTCCTGCCCTATTCCCCAGCCTGGATTACCTAAAGCAAGAAGGGAGCAGATGTCCTCTCCCAACTTGCACCAGGTGATGGGAGAACTTGCTCCTGGCTGGGTGCTGAGGGATTAGCTCCCCATCCTCTGCCTTCCTCCACACTCAACCATGAAGGTTGGATCAAAGAATGAAGCACGACCGTGATTCATGTTGTTCTTCAGCCCTCTTTTCCCCCAAGGTCTTGAACTTGAAGTAAAGCATCATCCAGGATCTGGCTCCAGACAATCTGGTGCTACCAGCCTGCACGCTGGTAGTGAGACAGCTGTGGGTCAGTACTGCTTGGATCTAGAGTAAACAGGGTTAGGAAATACCCTTATAGTGGGGAGTAGGAACATCTCCTTCCATTTGGGTGGCCTGGGCTTTTCTCACCTGAGGTGTCGGGAGAGAGGCAGCACGAATAGGTTTGCTTTTCTGCAGCACCTCTTTTCCAGCAGAGCAGACACTTCTGCCGAGTTCTGTGTTTTTACTGCATCCCCCTGATCTCTGCCCAATTGCTTTGTCCTGGTGTTGGATTCAGTGGTTGTGAGCTCTGCAGGGAGGAAAGGTGCCTTCCAGAATGGCAGCCCTTGAACGAGATTTCCTGGCAAAATCTTGCGAGCAATTGCAACTTATTTGGTAGTATGAGCAAAAATACTGATTTTAATTTTGTGCGTGTTTGTGTGCGTGTATCCTTGCATCCATGCAAAGCCTCAGGTGACTGACAAGTAACCCTTGTGCTACCTAGGGCCAAACTTATTTTTAAAGCCTAGCTGTTCATTATTCCTGGTGCCAGCACAAATCACTGCTGAGACCAGTGCTTTATTGTGATTTCTTTCACCCCAAGTGGCAAGTGCGGTGGTAATGGCTGTTGTGTAACATCAGCTGCAAAGCTTGTCTCATTCCTGAGATACTTGTTTGGAAAAGAAGTTGACACTTGGAGCCAAGTACAGTGCAAACATCAACTATTGCCATCCAACAACTGCATCTGGGCTGAAAAATAGTGACTGTGTAGTAGCTAAGATATGTAATGAGTGCTAACTTAAATTAAAATAAAGATTTACATTTAGTTCTCGGGTCAGAATGTCTAAAAAATACTTCTGAACAGTTCTTCCATCTGTGCCAACAACTTAACACAGCAACATTGTAAAACAAAATGAGGTATCCTTTTAAGACTTCAGATGATCTATGACCCACTGTATCTTTGGGAAATATGCCATAAAGATTAATTAGCCTCATTGCTTACTGCTCCTACTATTTTTAAGACACTTTGCTCTTTCTCTGTTTAAAAAGAAAATGGGTTTAAAGATAATGTGACTGTCCAACTGATGCAAACAGGAAAAAATCAGGCAGCATTTGTGAAGGAGGACCATTGCACTCTGCAACTTGGATTTTTTTGGAGCACAGCATGACTTCTTAGGAGAAATTTGCATAATTAAATCATGGCGCTCAGAAAATTAAGTAGCTTGTACTGAGCCTTATGTATATAATTGAGCTGAGCTGATAGCGTTATCATTAGTGATCAGATTATGGTGGTGGAATGGCAGAAACCTCTATAGCCTGGAAAGGTATAACTGCATTTCTGCAAGAGGATTCACTAACATCCTCCTCAGGACTGCTCTGTGGACTTCAGCTCATCTGTAGTAGTTCCTCTGACTTAGAATCTGGACATCTGTATTGTTGAAATGTCGTGGACTGTCATAACCATGTCAACACTTAAGTGCTACAACCTTGACTGTAACAAAAGTGGACTTTCTGATGCTTGATCATCTAATGAAAGAATCCTGAAGAACTCTTTTTTTTCCCTTCTGTCTCTGGCGCACGGACACATCATTATTCCAAGGAAAATAAAATAACTTCTTATTGTCCTGCCTGAGGGTAGCCTGGGAGTTAGGGTCTCTCCTGTTAGATAGGAGATGGGGGCTCACATCTCAGGTGGAGGAGGGAAGTTTAGTTTCTCCTCGCAAGAATGCTAACCTTGAACAGCAGAAGAGGTGTAACAGTATTTTGAATTGTACCTCATCACTGATACCTCCAGGGTTGGGATCATTAATGAAGAGGGGTGGAGAGCTGGGAAATGTGTGAATACCAAAAAAGCGATGATGGAAAGAAAGGTGCTGGACTTCCCAGTGGCATCGGACACATCTAGACGTGCTCAGAAAAAGGGCCCTTGAAAATCTATGACATGGAAAACTTTATAGCTAAGGTGTCAGGTGTTGATAAGGTTGGGTAGAGGCTTGTGGTGGTGCTGTGTGCTCGTGCTCACTGATGTCATGATGTGACTCCAACCTACTTTGAAAATCCAATGTTCAGCAGTATCAAAATCGAACCTCATAGATGTGTAGCAGTAAAGGCTGGTGGTGTCTAATCCACCCTTCTGCACCCAAACCACTCCTAATGGAGAGGGCTGAAAATAAACTACCAAAATCTCAGACTGGTCACACTCCTAAGGGAATTCAGTGAATCAGAGCAAAATTTGACCAGTCTGATACGGGTGGAGTAATTTCCCATCTCCAGAGAAAGTTGGAAACTGGTCTGGGTTTCTCCACTGTTTTTGCTTTAATCACAGCTCATTCTTCCGCAAGAAACAAAGTGTTCTTTTTATCTCCCCAGTGTTTAATAGTGTGTAATATGAAGTGATAATGTTGTTAGAAGATAACACTGTTAACATAGTTATGGGCTCCTGCTGTAGGGTATAATGCCAAACTTAGTGACTTATTTGAGATACAAAAGGAGTAAAAGCCAATTTAGTTTTTTTTTCTTTTTTTTTTTTTAATTCTTCCCTTAAAGGGAAATGTTTGTTCTTACAAAACACTCTTTTTTAAAACTGAGTTTAGAGTTTACAGAGTCCTGCTGATGGCAAGCCAGCTTTGAGAAAAGTCCTGGTATTGTGTCTTTGCAGGGCTGGAGTTGATTAGGAGTCTGGGATAATCCCCAAGCATGGCCAAAGTGTTATTTGCAGGGTTGGGTTTTCTTTTCTTTCTCATTTTCTACCTGTTCTTACAACCCATACAAACACCATCACCTCGATAAAGGAGCAGGACAGCACTGTTTGTGGGAATTGCTCAGCAAGTGATGCTTGCTTTCTGCTTCTGGCAAGCAGGGTGGGTGTAGAAATGTGTTGAAGGAGAGCTTTCCCAACAAGCTCCTGTGTAGGTGATAAATAACTCCCTGGATGTGTCCTTGCTGAACACAAAGGGAACACGTTTGATGAGTTATGAATGAGCATGGGAGATACCCAGGATCTTGGCATTTTTTGAAAAGCCACCTTTGGTTTTCCTTCATTGGGTCTCTGTGCCAGACACCAGAGCTCCATCAGTAGGTACAGTGCGAGGCAGGCAAGAAAAGATGTGGACAAGCAACTGGATGGGCTCACTCAGAAGCTTTCTTTTGTTCTCTTAGGAATCAGTGTGGCTAAGTAACTAGTGTAGCGGGTTGTGTGATGAGATGGAAACCAGCTGGAGAGCTGTGGGTAAATCTGTCTTGTAGTTTCCCCTTGTGTGAGAGAGAAAATGTGCTCCTGCCCTTCCTTATAGAGTGCTTTGAGATGTACAGATGATCAGAGCTGAATAAGACAGTGCTATTATTAAGCATCACTTTTTTGATGGGCAGCTTGAGTAATGTTTTCAAGGGCCCAATGATAAATCAAATTTTGTTTCTAATAAACAACTTAGCCAGGCAACTCAAACCACTACCATTTTACAAGGTATTATGCAGCATTAAGTGAAAACCTTGCCTGAAAATAATTAAATCTGTGAGGTTTTCAAAATACTAGAAAACTCTCACATTGCTGGGTTTAAAAAAAGAAAAAAAAAAAAAAAAAAACCCAGCAAAACATAAGCACTTCTCTTTGCAATATGACCTAGTCAGTTTTTCATTTATGATGAACCACGTTCATGGGTGCTGAGGAAACTTAAAGCTCATTGTACTGAAATCATTTGCAGTTCCCCAAAGAATTAAGAACAGGCATTAGGTAAAGAGCTAAATTATATCCAAACCAATCCAGACTCACTGTGGGGTCATTCATGTACATACAATGCAGAGTGTTCAAACACATGGTCTGGTGCTGTTAAGAGATTTGTTTTTCTTATATTTATCTCCTTAGGCCAAGTGTAGACTGTTAAAGCTCAGATTCCCTGAGCCAATAGTAGGAATCATTTTTATTCTCAAAGGCTTTGGATTAAATGGACTGGCACACGTGTTTTGTTGTACAGAGTGGACACACACTGGGTTTCAGGCACACCTCCTGCAAACTCTTTTTGTGTATACTTCATTAATATTCTGCTAATACAGTCAAGGCACGCAGCACTCAGATGCTTAAGCGTATTGCTGACCTCGAGTATGTGAATTTCCCCTTTAGTATTCAGTGTGTAACAGTACACATGACTCTGTACCTGGTTGAGCAACCAGAATTATTTACACTTTTTATAAAATTGAGCCAGTATGAATGCAGGAAATGGAACCTGCTTTGGGTGAGAGGGTCTGTCTCAAAGAAAAATACTGACTAACAGGAGATCTTTGGGGTTAGCTATCAGCATTTAATGCAGTCGCTGTATCAGATCGATGTGTCATCTACAATATGTTTAGCACATTGATCCAATCTGGGAGCTCTTATTGCATCTGGCACTTACCCTCTTCAGCCTTGAACCTAAGTTGGCACCTATAAGCTGCTCCTGCCTATGCAGCACCTGGGATCATATTCAGTGTGGTCAGGGACTACTTTTAAACCCATCAGTGTTGTCGGTTTTGTCTCTCAATAGGTTCTCAGCATGGTGATCAATGCAGCCTACAAGCCAGGGAGTGTTTTACGAGAATTGCAGCTCGTGGAAGACCCTCAGTGGAATTTCCAAGAGGAAACACTTAAAGCAAAGTAAGTCTTAAGCGTGTGCTCTTTTATTTGTGAGCCTTCAAAATTGGAACTGACTGGAGGAAGGAGAGGGAAAAAAAGAGAACAAAAGATTTCTTCTATTGTGAGAGTTTTACTTTTCTAATTGTCGCTTTGCTTCATTGAATTATTTGTCTCATTCTATAGCAACTTCAGAAATGAAATATTCACCTGAACAGTTCATTTCTATTGTCTTTCTCCAAGCAGCCATCCAGATTTTGATGAAAAATGCCATGTTTATTCAGTGAAGTCCTGAGTTTTATGATAAGCTGTTCCTATAAGCTTGGCTATTATTGAATTAACTCAATTCCTGGCTTTCTAAATGTAGGAGCATTACTGCTTTTAATATAGAGCCTGTCACTCTAATGCAGAAAAAGCTGGTGAGAACGAATGGCACAAAGAAAAAGCGCAAACAAAATAGCAGGGACACATTTTTAAGTAGGGAATGTGGGATTAAGATCAGGATTTGAGGCCTTTCTAGAATTTATGCTTCAATTGTCATCTAAACAACACTTAAGAAAATTGTATCTAGAAATTACTCAATTTCCCCTTTCATCTTGAAAAGTTACCTGTTTACGTCTTCTTTATGTAATGGGCACTACACTTAGGATGTGTTTCAACAGCCATTGTCTCTCTGAAAGGAGAGTCTCACCTAAGGTCTCTCCAGTGTCCCTCCAAAGAGCAATTCTTCCCTCTTGGAGATGGATGTCAACAAATAGTTCTTTGAGGACAGCTCTCTCCATTGAGGAACTTGGTCACCTTGACTTTTTGAGCACTGAAGCTAAATGCAGTGAATCTCACCCTTTATAATGAACACTCTTACTCCTTTTCAAATAAAAGCAAATTTCTCTTGGTTATTTGAAATGATTGGCTGTTAAACATGGCACTATTGATTGCTATTGTATTTGATCTTTGGCCATGCAGGTATTTCAGAAAGCTCATGTGTGCTCTGGTTGAGAGAGAGAATTGAGGACCTTTTATTCTACACACTCAGAAACTGCTTTTCTAAAGGAGGATTGCAATTGGAAATAAAAAGCTACTAGAAAATCCCATTTTTAATTTGCTTCTTTCACCCATGTGGAAAGTCATGTTTTTGTGTTTGTCAGTGGAAATCTTGTGGATGGAAATCTAAAAGTCATCCTTGTGCAGGCAGATTTTCATTAAAAACAAGTCATCGTCCATGACCTGGTTTTCATTGATTCCAGGCTCCCACACCTTGTACTAGCAAATATTATATAATGCACTTCTACAGGTACTTAGCAATTATGAAATCAAGTTATAACGCCCCAGCTTAATGTCCTGTCCTGCAATGAGGTGAACTTACAGGCAGTTTTCCTATCAGCAGTATCCAAAATAGGACTTTGTAGGCATTTCTCATTTGGGTGTAGATACCTGCCTTGTGAAAAAGCAGCAGTATCTAGTTCTTAAGGCTGCTGCAATCCTTATTGCTAATGGAAGACAGACTGGAAGACACTTAACTGACCGTCAAGTGCAGGGATGTATTGTCCTTGATAGCTTTGTCTACAGCCCAGTCCACTGAGACCCCAGGCAGCTTGCTGGTGCTTACACCAGGAAGGCCAACATGGGCTGCTAGAGATAGTCACTCACCCATATCACATCAACCACTTTTCCTCCCTCATTGTTGCCTGGTGTGCTAATCATGCTGTGATGAGCACTTCCATCTCCATTACCTTCCCCCCAATGCTTCTTCCCATTCGTTCCTGTGCCCCTTTCCTCCCATTTATTTATCAGGGCAGCCAGCTGGGTGGGATCTATCTTGTATACATGTAGCCTGCCAGATAGAAGTAGACCAATGCTTTCCAGCAAGGAAGCTTTGTATTTTATGTTGATCAGCCAGTCTCAGGATGTGTACATGTTCCTGCATGATGCCTACCCCAAGAGGCAACAATCTCAGCTCTTCAGCGAGTCAAGCAGCATCTTTCAACTTTATCAAGCCACACAATGGGTCATTACAGGCTCATTACAGGTTCAGTCATTACAGAGCTGGGACAGCATGTTTTGGAGTGACTTCCAAGCATAGAAATGTGTTCTTATTTGGTATGGCATTGTCCTCTGAGGAGACTGAAGTAATGGGGCTGGACAGCATTAGATATTAGGAAAAAATTCTTCACTGAAAGGGTTATCAAACATTGGAACAGGCTGCCCAGGGAAGTGGTGGAGTCACCATCGCTGGAGGTATTTAAAAGATGGGTAGAGGTGATGCTGAGGGACACGGTTTAGTGATGTTTTTTGTCAGTGTTAACAGTTGGGCTAGATGATCTGAAAGGTCCCTTCCAACCTAGGCAATTCTATGATTCTGTCTGGCTTCTGAGACTGGAGCTCTGTCTCAGAGCAGTGCTGGCCAGTCATACCAGCTTGCCTGCAGATAGTTTGAGTGCTTCTAAGAGTAGGTGGCAAAGGGTAGATATGTGCTAAGACTGTCGGAGTCCCCTAGGACTTCTTTTTTTCCTTCCTGAGTTTGGTTAAGCCACTTCATCAAGAAGCGTATCAGGGCTTTAATTGCATTTGGTTGTGCAGAAGCAGAGAAGAAAACATGCTGGTGAAGTCAGATACCCTGGGATGCACAAATAGCACGCGACACGTTGCATCAGGTATGACAGCCAGTGGTGCTCCAGAATCTTAAACAGAGACCCGTAACGAGCAAACGCCTGTCTACACCAGCTCCCAGCTACACCGATGGTGTCATGCTGCTAATGATGACAGCTCTACAGCCAGCCGGGGCGTCTGTGCTGTAATGTGACATGTCGTGTCACCGCCTTCCTTCTGATGTCAACTGACAACTCCTTGCATCTTGACAATGTTGTTGTTTGTTGGCGGCGGCGGCGGCTGCAGTGGGGGTAGAGCAGAGGGGAAGGAGGAGGACGGGGAGGAAAAAGCTGTTTTCCCCCCACACTGGCCCCAATGCCAAATTGTACACTGCCAGGAACGCCTTATCTCAGTCCTGGGGTACCCTGAATTTACTTTGCTGTCGTGAGTGACCAGCACAGAATCAATTACAGTAGCGTTGCAAAGAAGATAAACAATTTAGACTGTCTGAAGAGATGTGTCTGCGGTGCGTGATGGCAGTCGCTTCCCATCAGTGCTGCTGGCTCCCTCTGAAAATAGTCAAACCTGATTTATTGGTGATCATGAGTTAGAAATGTCAGGCCTGATCTTCTGAAGTCCCATGAGGGCCAGCCAAAGCTGTGGGCGTCCAGCTCTTAAAGATGCTTTAAGTTCAGTGCCTACATCTGGATATGGCTTCCTAATTTTACATAAAATGCTTGAGGGACTTTATGCTTTTTAAAGGCTTAAATTTCTAAGGGCTATAAGAGGGGCTGTTTGGACTTACCCATTTTTGCAGGACTTTGGACATAACCCTCTGCACACACTGGTACTGTTTATCTCCTGGGTCCTGTATGAAGCCCAGTTAATCAAAATAAGAAAAAGGAGTATTCCTGGACTCCTCCTTTAAATGACATTCTGAGAGTTGCTAATCCAGTAGCTGCACTCCAGGAATGTACCCCCCCCCCCGACCCCGTCACAGACACCATGGCTTGTTTATGAGACTGTATTTCCAATAAAGTCTTTTCACTGGGGTGCTTTAGAAGACTTTCATTTGTGGTAGATGATGCTGAGGTGTTTGAAGTCTGCTTTGTCTCAGCCTTTGCTAGCAAGGGTTGCTCTCGGGCCTCCCAGGTCCCTGTTACTGTTTGAGGGAGTGAGGTGTCACCCACAGTAGATGGAGAAGAAGCCAGAGACACTACAGGCAAGCTCGATGTCCACAAGTGCGTGGAACCAGATGGGATGCAGCCAGCTCAGCTTGAGGGAACCGGCCAATGTCATTGAAAGGCTGCTCTGTCATGTTTGAAAGTTGATGATGATCAGTGAAGTTTTCTGATGTCTGGAAAAAGGCAAACATCACACCCTTCCTCCAGAAGGACAAGGAGAATCCAAGAAACTACAGGCTGTCAGCCTAACGTTCCTGGGAAGGTTATTGGGCAAATCCTTTTGGAAACCATTTCCAGTAACATGCAGGACAAACAGGTGACTGGGAAGAACCAGCATGGGTTTTCAAAGGGCAAATTGTGCCTGATGTGATGAAGTAACTGGCTTAACAGCTGGGAATGGGAAAGCAGTGGAGGTTATTTACATTGATTTTAGCCATGCTTTCAGCACAGTCTTCCATAGCGTCCTTACAGCCAAGCTGTGGAGATGTGGAGTGGATGTGTGTGTGATGAGTGGAAAGTTGGCTGGACAACTGATCCCAAAGGGTTGCAATCCGTGGTATTATGTGAATAATGGCAGCCAGTTATTAACAGTGCTCCTCAAAGGTCAGTACAAAGCTCATATGATCTGGTTCGTTGTCCACATGAGCTCTGCCACATAGTTCTTGAGGCACTGCCAGGGTGAGTTAGTGTGATCAGGTGGCCTTCTATGCCAGATACTGGAGGCAGAAGTCATTGATACCAGTGGAATGACTTAAACTCTTTCTTTCTGTAACCAGAAGAGTTAACAAAACATGTCCTTACAAACAGAGTAATTCCAAAGCCCTTTCTGAATCCTATCTTTGAGAGTAGAAAGCATCACTAGATGATTAAATAACTTTGGAGGAAGATAACTACATTTTTTGTTGATTTTAGCTAGACTTAGATTATTTGCAAAATCTTTGGTGTTCAAGATACACTGAGTAGTTCCAAGGGTATCAGGGTTTTGATGAAAACTTTAGGGTTTTCTGTCATTGGCAGTTGCAATGGCCCATACAGGCAGGGTCGGATTCAAACAAAATGAAGAGGATGTTGGACAATTTCTACTGCTGTACTGCTAAGTTGCTTCTGGTAGATCCAAGGCAGGGAGGCTTTGATTGTGTGCTGTGTATTTCCTGGAGATTTCTCGTATTTGGCCGACTTCAAGCTCATAAGACAAATTGGAAATGTGTTGCAAAAGGACAGGTAGGAGTTTTTGGTCTCCTGAAAGGATGTTTAGGCTTTTAGCCAGTGAATTGTTCAAAATAGTCTCAAAGATTGTCAGAACTGTGGACAAGACCTTTGAAAATGAGGGTAGTCTCAATGCTCTTGTTGTTTGAAGTGGCTTCAGCATGAGGCTTTTCACGTCATCGCATAACGGTCCCTAGCGAGAGCGCTCATAGAAGACATTTTGTTCTCATGAAACTCTGATCTATTTTATCACCAAAGGAAGCTTCAGCAGGAGAATGATATTGCCAGCAAAGTACTGTTAGCTTACTATTGTTGCTCATGGATCAGCAAAGATCCTGAGTATATTTTTCATGGAAGTAGTTCCAGCCATAAGCGTTTTCTTCAGTTTTGGGGATCTGAGGGCAGAGAAGGATGGAGAGGAAAGGAATATTTATTTTGATTTAGCTGAAAAATCTTTTGGAAAAGAATGATGATTTCTAAGAAAACTGAAAATGTTGTGCTTGACACCGGTGTTTTGCAAGTCTCCAGAGCTGCCATGCTGTGTGTGCAGGTTACTTACTGCTTAAATGTGGTTGGGAAGATAGAAGTCCTAGTATGAAAACATTAATAGGAATATCAGTAGTTGGTAATTTTTTGAGCGTTGTTAATGGAAAGGCATTTTCTGATTAGATCCAATGGAGCTCTTTCCACATGGCCGTCCTAGAACAGCTCAGATTACATTTGGTGGTGTTTGTGTTAAAAATCTTTAGTGTGTGAGGAATATGGAAAATATTAGTAGAACTTGGTTTATAGTTGAAAGAGGCACTGCCAAAGTGAAAGTAATGTAAAAATATTACTACGGCCAGTACTAACACCTTGGGTTATTGAGCCTTATTGCTGCAGTCATGTTGATCTCCATTTTGCCACCCGTTCTGTTAATTGCTATGTGTATGGCATTCAAACCAGACTGTGAAATGAGTCAGTTGTTCATTTTCCTGGTTTCATCTTTTTCTTTCACCAGGTACAATGGGTCCTTTCTGGGCAGCCAAACACAATAGGAAGCACACAGTTAGAAGAAGTCAGCCATCCTTGAATAATACCCATCAGGCAGCTTTCTTAGCTTGTAAGAAAGAAGATCAAGAGGCAATTTGATTACAGTGCTTTTGCAGGGAAACAAGACCAGATGCGTTCTTTTCATCCTAGTGGTGAAAGTCAGAACAAGGACAAACAAATGCAAGTTAAATCCAGACACATCCAGACATAAAATGAAGCATAGGCTCATGAGATATGGGTACAGGTGCTCCTGCTGCCAGGATTCCTCCAGTGTGGAGACCCTTGAGGGGAAGCTGCTGCTTTTCTGGAGGTGATGCTTTAGTCCAACCAAAGTTGTTGGGGTTCAGGTGAAGGTAACGTGATGAAATTCTGCAGCCTGTCATAGGAGTCAGACTTGTCAGCTTAATACTCTAGTCCATCATTAAACTTAATGGCTCCTGGAGAAATAATAAGGGCAGGACTCTTTTCAAACACACTGAAAAGAAATAAAAAATGATTATACGCAGATATATTTAAATGACTGTGGAATTATTTCATTTGATAATAGCCAAACCCTCTTTAGCCAGCCTGCCTGTGCAGCTGTTCCATAGGGAGGCTGAGATAACAGTGCTCTGTGTCTGGAAGGAACGCTTTTTTGATTTGACATCATCTGTCCAGGTCTGTTGGGGTGCATGAAGAGTTGGCTAATGAAGTAATTTATTCATTCATTTATTTATTCATTCGGATGGATGAATCCAGAATTGTCACCATGACCTGGGGTCCTTGGTCAGCCACCAAATGGGGTATCAGAGCATGGTACCTTGCCCAGTTAGGTTCTGGACAAATTTTGTGTCAAGATGATATTTTGGATCAAGTCTTTTGAGACATGAGGATGGTTGGACTGGGCTGTTCTCAGACCCTAATTTCATTTGGGTACCCCAAGTCTTGAACCCTTTGCCCATACCCCAGTGCTTCCAGAAAGAGCTTTTGGGAGGGAGAGCAGCAGGAGGTGGTTTCTCAGTTGCTTTGTGCAACTCGGTAAAACCTTCGGAGAGAGGGAGTTGAATCTGGGTTCGTGCTGTGTGTTTTAACTCTCTGGCCACGTCTTCATTGTTTCACCTTCTCCTCCTCCTCCTTTTCCACATCTGACTATCAGCAGCTGCCTCCCTGCTGGGGAGCTGTGGGTCTTAATACACTCGCAAGTGCTTTGTCTCATTTTTCCTGATGACTGTATCTTTGTCTTTCAGTGCCTCCCATCCAGTAAGCTTTCTTTCACTGTCTCTCCCTCTTTTTCTTTTGTGCATGTTACTTTTCTCTCCTCTAAGCACATTTATAATGCCTTAACACCAGGTGCTCGCGTGATTGTCTCTTGTGTTGCATTCCTCAGGACGTGCAAGTGATGTTGTAAAAACCTTATCTCACTGTTTACAATAGCTTGGTGCCGCTGTTTAATAAATTGTGGGGATAATTGGTTTTTCAGAGTTCACATCTACAATGTATTACAGCAGGGATGTAACTGTATCTTTCTTAGCCATTTATCGCTCAGAAACACTTCATATAAAACACCGGAATAAATGTTTTAGTAGCACATGGATAACAAATTTAAGACAAACCTTTCATTGCATCTGCTCTAAGCATTCCCCGTAGGAATCACGGTTTTTAGGGCCTGTTCTCACAGCCCTGTTAACTGACTCAAGAGGCTCCTGGTTTGTTCCTCGGGTCTTGCATCACCCACATCTCATAGCGGTGAAGTTGTCTGGTCCCTGTATGACATACATACAATCCGGATTCACCCAGATACAACCACAGACAGCACGACAAAACTGTGGGATTCTTGTGAGCTGGGACATGATGTGAGAGCTGCCTCAAGAAAGATGGCATTGGAGAAGAGGGTGATGAGGCACTGGAACAGGTTGCCCGGGGAGGTCGTGGATGCCCCATCACTGGGGGTGTTCAAGGCCAGGCTGGATGGCTATTTGAGCGGCCTGGTCTAGTGGGAGGTGTCCCTGCCCATGGCAGGGGGGTTGGAACTAGATGATCTTTAAGGTCCCTTCCAACCCAAACCATTCTATGATTCTATGATTCTAAGACCAACAGAGGCTTAGAGACAGTCTCCAATGTAGCCCATGTACAGGGTGGTGACCGCAAAGTTCTGCAAGCTTCTCATTGCAGATCAGTATATGAGGAGAGACTACATCCTTTTCCTCAAAACTTTGCATCAGTTTGTAGTATGGCCAAGCCTACTGTGATTTTTTTGCCATCTCTTGCCTTACCTACAGATATATCCAATCTGTACATGCATTCCTCCCTAAGTCATGTCCACACCTCTGATTCCGGGATCATTTCATCCTGCCTTTCCTTCCTCAAGTCCATCTGAAATGGAGCCACTAAAACAAGCAGACCTGTTCTGCCTGCCTTCCCAAGAGAGGCACTCTCCCAAAAGTCATTAGGGAAGGTATCTCCCTAACAGAGATTGGTCTGTAGCATCGAAGGACATCGCTTGATTGGTGACATGGGGTCTTGTCATTCTTTTTTCTAGATACAGAGGGAAGACATACAGGGCGACTGTTAAGATTGTGCGGACCTCGGATCAGGTGGCGGATTTCTGCAGAAGAGTCTGTGCAAAGTTGGAGTGCTGCCCCAACTTATTCAGTCCTGTTCTGGTGGCTGAAGTCTGCCCAGAGAACTGCTCCATTCATACTAAAACCAAGTACAGTGAGTATTGGCCAAAATGCTTCTTGGTGCTAGCTGGGGATCAGGACGGTGGGAGACTGTGCATGAGCTAGTGATGGAGAACAGGAGTTGTGTAATGCATTAATAGTGAGTGGGATTCATCTCATCTAGGAGCAATTAATCCTGACCAGGCCACCACAGGCTCCCTCAGTATTCTGTACAGAGAAGTAAGCATCTCCAGAAAACTGTCCATCTCTCTCCATCCTAATATATCTGTTTGAAAGTCATTACTTTTTGGAAGTCTTGACTTTTCTTCGTATGTAAAATTAACATAAGGAGCACATAAAAGGAGCCTGCAGTGGCCAGCTAAGATTTAAACTGCTACATCTGAGACAGCTTCCTTAAGTGACATGAACTCTCAGTGAAGAGTTTCTGGCATACGCACCAGCACAGGCCAGTATCATGGTTCTGAGGTGCTGGAAGGAGTTTTGGAGCATTGACTTTCTCTGCTCAGGGTGTTTAATGTTTAAACATGTTCCTACCTATTCAGGAAGGCTGAAGTTAAGCATGTGCTCAACATTTTTGGTTGTCCATGTTACTGATAATGGCTCTTGAACTGGTCAGGAAAAAGTGGAAATGAGTGCTATCCTTCTTCCACACAGGTTTCAAGAAACCAGTATGATTGATTTAAACCAATTAGCTTCTGTTTGGCACCAGAGCAGGAGGGGAAATGGGCTCAGGGAGATATTCAGACCATTGAATATGGGTTTCTGTAGAAGTCCACACCTGAGCTAGACTCCTGGCTCCCACTGGCAGCAAATAGAGATCTGGAGGAGTACAGCTAGGGGAGACAATCTCCAGCTGAAATTTCATCTCAGAGTTGATGGTTGTATGTGACTGGATGAATTGTTCCTCAAAACTCCATTGATTTGATGAAATGCTTAGTTCAGTTACGAACTTTGACATGGGTGCCAAGTGCCATTTTAGTTGTCCCTGACGAAGGGCAGCCCCGGAGGATGCTGTAGAGCATGTCAAAGGCACCTAACACAAGCTTCTAATGTAAGGTCAGAGGACTCTCACATTTTTAATTTCAACTTGGGCCATGAAATAGTCGAAGGTAATAAAAACCCATTCCTTTGTGCATTGAACAAATGCAGATAATTCAGGATCACTCTCCGCTCTCTGCTGAAAACGTTCACAACTGAAAGTCTATCTAAGACTGTTAACTCATGCTGAAGGGCATTGGATTAAATCGGAAACGTGCTAGACCCTCTCCCTCCAAATCTCTGCTCAGCTTAGTGGAAGCTTTTCCTAAGTACACATTGTAGGGTTAAATTCTGAACTCCTCATTCATCACCAATAAATGTGTATGCGTAAGATCTGTAACACTCTGCGCTAGTCCAAAATGATATCTTATATTTACACTGGCCGTTTTTTCCAAATTAATGTATTTTAAAGTTCCTCGTAAAAGTGCACCTAGAGTGCAGTACTGAATCAGTAGGAAGAAACAAGCCAAAGTTTCCTTCTCTAAGTAGTTAAAGGTTTTAAAGAGTGTTTTGCTTCATTTCTCCAGCTTATTATTATGGGAAGAGGAAAAAAATCATTAAGCCACCGATTGGGGAAAATAACAACATGAAAAGTGGACATGTGAAGCCAGCCAGACGCAGAAAAAGGCGGAAATCCATCTTTGTGCAGAAGAAGAGGAGGTCGTCGGCTATCGATGCGAATGCTGCGGGCTCTGCAGAGGTACATGTTGCACTGGGGTAAATCGGCAAAAGCCCCTCGGTGCTTTTCTCTCCCCACATCTGCACCTTCCTTCTGAGGGACTTCTCAGCAAACCTCAGCACTTCCATTTTCCATTTTGAATCCCTCCTTGCTGCTCTGTTTTCCTAAGGTCAGACTGGTTTTATTGGGATGCTTTGGGGGCTTTTACCCTTGCCCATTCTAGAGTTAGCAAATAGAGTTTTGGTTCCACCTTTGTAATGCTTACTAGCTAATGTGCTGTCTAATATTATATATTTGTTTTCTTTTGCTGCCTTATAAGCCTGTAGGCAGGCAGATGAGCCTGTTAGATGCTTTGTGCAGCATCTAGCAGAGTGAAGGAGGTCTGTCATCCATGTCTAAGGTCTCTAAATCTTATAATAAATAAAATTAACTCTCAGGCAATTATGGTTTCAAGGGCTTTTATTTTTTCATTAACCATTCTTGATATTCTTTGTTCACAACATCAAGCAGTAGATGTTCTAGAAGCTTTAGAAAGCAAGAAAATGGTTTGTGTCCCAAATATGTGGTATTTGAGGCCTCAGTCTTTTCAGTATGCTGTGTGAAGTGATGGGATCCCAGCTTCAGCAATGATTTGTGACTAAATGCAACCTGGAGCAGACTTAGTTCTGTGTGGCCCATTCCTGGGTGGTTTTCCCGTGATAGCAACACCAAAGTTCATGTGTGGTTTCCCTTCTTCTGCTGAGTGTCAGTGATTGCTGCTTGGTGCAACGTGAAATAAAACTAATTTACTTAAATTCTCTCTACTTCAGCTGGAGGGGGTTATTTTAGTCAGCTTTCAGTTGATTGCTTCCATCTTCATGACTTTGTCCTCATTTAGGTGCAGTTCTGCTTCATTTCCTTAGATTATACCTGCTTCAAAGGAATTTATACTGAAATAAACTCATCTTAAGCCTAAATCAACCATTAGCCAATTTTTTCAACCTTTCAGCCAATATAACTAACTTCGTCTAAAATTGCTCTTTCACTGAGCATATGGCTTGGATACATGCTCACACTTTGATCAGAGCAAAGCTGTCAAAGCCATTTGGGCCATTTTTGTATATATAAAGTTCAAAATACACAGTTTCCATAACTTGGTGTGTGCTTGCAAGCTCTGTGTGACAGAAATAACAGGAATCTGGCATAATATCCTTTAAATGGAAATTTGTTCTTCACTTCTAGCAGTTAGGTGTTGGACTGAAGTCAGGGAAATCTGGGTGAAATTGTTTGTCCTGAGTTTTACAGAAATGCCATCTAAGAAACCAAGTACAAGTATACACTTGTACATCTAGATGTTTTTAAATGGCACCAAAATTTCCTTCCTTTCAGTACTAGAGACACCCATGACAATTTGAAGCAAGGTGAAGGTTTAAATTCAAGCGTAGTTGTGATTTTAGTTCATCTCAAACAAGCTGAGTTTCGTTTCATCCTTTTAGTATTTTCCATTTCCCCTTCTCACACACATCTGCGGTGCCACAAGGTTTGAGACACCGGCCCAACAGAGGAACATTTCATGCTTGATGAGTTATGGCTGTTGACCTTTTGTTGGAAACAGAAAAAAGGATTTGCCCATCATGTATCTTTTTTCTTCTACATTTTGTAACAAATCTAAATTGAGGGCTAATCTACTTAGCACTGTAATGAAAATGGGATAATTTGGTTAAAATAAATGTTATCCAGGACCAGCATGGGCACAGGCATGCAGTTTGACCCAAGTGCCTTTCAATTTGTATTAATCTCCGAGCCTGGATGCTGTTTCTCTGATGGTCCTTGTGCAGGAGAGCGAAGATGACGAGCCGGATGTGATGGAGGACGAGACGGGAAGTGAGGAAACCAGCTCAGAGCTCCGGGATGACCAGACAGATACCTCTTCTGCTGAGGTCCCCTCTGCCAGGCCCCGGCGAGCGGTCACCTTGCGGAGCAGCACTGAGTCAGATAGACCTCCTCCCATGGAGAGAGCCCGACGGAGCCGGAGACCGCAGCCCCACTCCTACAGCGAGGCGGAGAAGTGCACCCAAGTCAAGGAAGTGAGTATGCCCGTAGGCTTTCACAGCAATGTTCTTCCTAAATTGCCAGCAGTGTGCCCAGGTGGCCAAGAAAGCCAACAACATCCTGGACTGTATCAGGAACAGTGTGGCGAGTTGAGCCCGAGAGGTGATGATCCCCCTGTACTGGGCACTGGTGAGGCCCCACCTCGAGTACTGTGTCCAGTTTTGGGCTCCCTACCACAAAAAAGACATCGAGGTGCTTGAGCGGGTCCAGAGAAGGGCAACAAAGATGGTGAGGGGTCTGGAGCACAAGTCTTATGAGGAGAGGCTGAGGGAGCTGGGGTTATTCAGCCTGGGGAAGAGGAGGCTGAGGGGAGACCTTATTGCTCTCTACAACTCCCTGAAAGGAGGGTGTAGAGAGGTGGGGGTCGGTCTCTTCTCTCAAGTCACAGGCGACAGGACAAGAGGAAATGGCCTCAAGTTGCGCCAGGGGAGGTTCAGGCTGGATATTAGGAAAAAATTTTTCACTGAAAGGGTTCTCAGGCATTGGAATGGGCTGCCCAGGGAGGTGGTTGAGGCACCATCCCTGGAGGTGTTCAAAAGAC